ATTTTTTATTATTATTTTTTTTTTTTTACAATAAATATAAAGTATTTTAATGACTGGCAATTTGAAATCTGCTTAGTTTTTGTACTTGAGATTAAAGCTTTAGTATTCGGAATAAAAATGCTCATGGAAAAAATAATTTAAATTTTAAATTCTATTATTATAATTAATTATAAACTATTTTTTACGAAAAAAATACAATTTATTGAAGTAGAATTAGACGTAAACGGGCGTATTCCGTAAGCCTGTAAACAGTTAGCAATGCTAGCTCATGCTTGATTGTTTGGAAGATGATGCAATGAGGTAATTATAATGGTAACTGATCAAATATCGCTTTAGAGCAGTCAACACTAATAGAACTGATAACTTCGTTTGGTAATGCGCTCCATGGGTTCGCTTCAACTTCTTGCAAAAAAAAAAAAAAAAACACACGAGAATTTATTGTCGATTTCACGATAAAAGCGCTACTCTTTTAGGTAGTATTTGACTTTGAAGTAAAAGAATCATAGCTTTGCATTTTTTAGACAAATAAGAAACTTTGCCACTACCAGTACCCAAATAGTTATCAAATATTTGAGTTTTTGCATCTTTGCTGCACTCAATACGTGTAATTTACTACACTCAATATGTGTGGATTGAAGAACTGTGGATCAGTAGAGGGCTCAAAAAATTTCCCTAAATTAGAGCTAAAGAATTTCAAAGTTAATCATCTGAGTCAGGATGAGAAACTTTATATCTTACAGTGGAGAGTGTGATGTTCAACCTGATTTGGTAATAATTACTGCTAACCCCTCTTTGTGACCCGATGTTTTGAGTCAAAAAGATCAAGATGTAATTATTTAAAAAAATAAAACCCAGCACAAAAGCAGTTTTCAAAAGTAGGTAATTGTCCCTTCTTCCTTAGAACAGAGGAACTAGGGATCAATGGAGGAAACTCATATTTTTATTTTTTAGGTTATTTAGGTGCTCCTAGAAGTCCTTAAGGTCTTATCACGGAATACCGCGGGAGACCATTTAACTAGAAGTTTTTGCCTCCTTCCTTACCAAGGTCTCTTATTGGGCTGGAGCCGGCGTCGAACCTCGGACCTCTAGGTTCTACATGCCAGAACTCTAACCACTGCGCCACGGCTGCTCAATAAATCGTGTAAAGCAGCATCAATCCAGCCAAAGTGCAGCTCTCGAAGAAATCCAGAATGGTATCTACTTCACAATCATAGTCGATTCTATCTCATACTGAGCAGAGAATCTTTGTTATTCGTTTTCTCCTCTTTTTCTCTGGAAGAGAAATTAACTGCTGGAAAATCAAAGAACGATACTTGTGTGTTGAAACTTTTCAGATGAAGAAAGAAGTTGATGAAGCTAAACTAACCACTAATGTAGTTTTAAGGCTGAGAATGAATGTTCAAAAATGTTGAAGTCTGGGACACGAAAGTGGGATCATTATGTCAGGTGCTTACAAAGAAGCTCGAGCCTTAATAAGGTAAAATTTTTTGCAAAGTTATTAAGCTCTGTACGTGCCCGGTGGCGCTCACAATCTAAATTTGGCTGATGTGTACGCTGTTGAATCAGTCATTGAGATCAAAGTATTCTTTAGAAATGCCGAATCTTGGTACTTATTTTTAGTTTTTTCAATGGAAGATTCTCACTGAAGCAACTTGGATTTTACTGCATAGACTTTCTATTACAACATGCTCTCTTTTCGACTTGATCAAACCACTTGCCAAAAGAAATGTTGGCAGCTATTAAACATGTCGTGAAAATCTATGTTTGACCAGTGAGTAGCTGTTAGTCTTCTTCTATAATCTGCAGCAATTACCATTAATGATGATCTACATTTGTTTGGACAGCTACTTAAAAATCTTAAACGGATCAGGGAAACTTGGTTACGAATTTTCTAAGAGACTGTAGTTGTAGCTGACTTTATCTGAGAGATGCAAACAAAAAGATTCTCATTAAAGAAGTTTGCCGTTTTAATGATTTCCGTGATATTCGATCTAATCTTGTAGAAGAAGCTTAAACGCTTTTTTATACAGTTGCATCATTTTCTGGATTTTCAACACTATTCCTGTTGCTGAGGGTGAACAATCGCTTAGTAAACTAAAAGTTGTAAAAAACTCTTCTTTGACCATGGGCCAGGATTGCGTTATTTTATATTTGATTATTTTGATTAAAGAAGATTTGGGCTAAAATTATTTGGGCGACCATAAAATTATTTGGGCTAAAATTATTTGGGCGACCATAAAAGCTCAAAAGGTTTTTTTTTAAGTGCCTTGTTTACCTTTCTTAAAGGTTTCGTTGATTATTTTTTTAATAGTTTTAAAGCTAATGTTTTGATCATGTCAAAAGACCGTTTCTCAATCCAGAGAATTAATGGTAATGCAAAAGTACAAAGTGCTGTATTAGAAACAAAGAACTGCTGCGTTCACAAAACTTTTAAAATTTTAATTTCTTTAATTAGTTTGAATTAAGGGCGTCGCTCTTCATTTTTGACCCGGGCGCCAATGACGCTCTCGAAGGCCCTGCCTCTATATGATCATATCTTCGTTTCTCTAAATGAGATCTTTGTATAAATTTTTTTTAAAAAATTAAAATTTTTCGTTTTTTATTTTTATTATGTAACTTTTGTATTTTGTGTATTTAGAATTATTTATTATTACTCTCTACATCTATGGATTTGATTAATGGCCGATGCACCAGAGATGTTCTAAAAATTAATACTTTAAAGTTAAAAGCAACTTAAAAAAAAAAAAAAAATCCTTAAAAAATGCCTTAAATGGAATTCGTGTATTTCTTAAAACGAAACTTTATTTTTACTCTTAAATTTTCTTTCAATTATAAACGCGTGGTTTCGTGAATGTTTGAAATCTAGAAGTCTGGACGAACAGATTCAAAAAACTGTTGCGTACGCTATAAATAATGAATCGTAAATAAATTTATACGTTAAAGCGTTTTACAAAAAGCCAAATCAAAGTAACGTAAGTTTTTTCTTAATTTTATTTAAAAATTAGTTCAAATAAATATGTACTTTTTCTTTTTTTTTTTTTTAAAAAAACTTTTTAAGAAATCCAAATTCATATTGTTTTTAAAATAGTATGGAGATTTCGTTTCTAACTTTTATTTTTATTTTTTGACGATTCTTATAAAATAAGCTCGAACTTAGTTATTTTTAAAGCAAACGTTAAGTAAACAAAAAACAGAAGTAACGCTTCATAGTTTTTAAAGGTGATCATTAATATTTTCTATAATCAAAATTATTTTTTTAAATATTGCCATATTTATATTCCTAATTAAAAAGAAATAATAACTTTTTTTAAAGTAAATTTTATTTTGTTCTGCCATAAGAAAACCGAAATAGATATTAAATTTATTAAATAAAAACTTGCTGCATTGCTAAATCAAAACTCGCAAAAATTTACTTTGTAAACAAAGTTCTGAATGTTGTGTGAAACTATTTTAAAAACTATATTTTTACATCATCTAAATTAAAATTAGGTACGAACATTTATTTAATTGTAATCTTTAAACTACCAATATTTATACACACATATACCCTTCAAAGTTTGATTTTAATGACTTGGCAATATCTTCATGTTATTCAACAGAGCAACTTTGCGCAGTTTCTGATGCAATTTATAAACAGATAAGAAAAGCTAATCGTATATTCACATTGCAAACTTACAATTTGATATAACCGAAATTATATCTTAACTTAATAAGATATATTGGCGGTAATATATTGTGATTAGAGGAAAAGTCCGATTCGGTTCGGTTAGAACAAGTATCTGAGTTTGGTTCGGTTCTATCATTATTTTAGTTCGGATTTGTTTTGATAAATTTGAAGTTCGGGTTCATGTTCGCATAAGTATCAATGCAACTGTTTATTTATTAGTTACAACCCTTAAAACGGAAGCTTTACATTTACATTGATAACACAAATTGGATTGCAAATTATTTTTGTTTTATCATTGTACCGCTAAATTTGAAACTTTAAGAGTTCAAATTACAGAATGTTGCAGTCTAAGTACAATTTTGTTTTGATATTTTGTAAAAAGTAAAAAACATCAAAGCATAAAGTGTAATGAAAATTTGGACTCGGATAGTTAGCCTATTTTTAATATAATTTCAACGCAACAGATGCGTGTTCACTCTCGGTCCATCTTGAAGCTGAACAAGCCAACTGCTTTAAATTTAAAAAAATCATTTTCAGTCCATTTACGAGCTAATTTATTGCAAATCATGTCTGTAATTTATTTAATTACTAGAATCTATATTAAAACTCAAAACATTAACAATACACGAAAATCGGCCATGTCTACAAACATGATAACATCTCAATTACTTCTTTAATTCAATGCTAGAGTTTCACGTCTGTGGTATTTGTTCTTTACCTAAGCGTTTGCAAAAAGTCATAGACAATAATATATTTAACTCTTAATTAGTTCGTAATTTGAACTAAACTCGAAAAATCATTTATATTGAACAATTTTTTGGGCCCTTCTGGGTTCAATACTTAAAATTGAACTCTCTTTATTTAAAAGCTATTGTAATTCGAACATAATTTGAAACCCCTTTAGGATTTGAATAACACGAGTTCAATCGTAGTGCATATTTATTAGAAATTAGTTATGCAATTAAAAGTAGAAAATAATTGCTTTTTTTTTTTTTTGAATAAACGCTCCATTATTTTTTAGGCGAACTAATATATCTAGAATGATTGTAAAATATTACCTATCAGATCTGCTACAGTTTCCTAATGACGAATGAGTGCACAAGCTTCCTGGTTTAGACAGAAAGCTCGTGCATAACTCATTCCCTTTCCTTAATCTTTCTTTAATACATTTTTCTTTCTCTGTTAGCTTGTTTAAAAAAAATTTTAATTAAACATTTGAGAAACTTGGGCCATATGTTGATTAATATATGATTATAAACACAGATTGGAGCAAGATTAAAAAAATTTCAAATTTTATTTTCTAGTTTAACGCCATCTGTTTGAGATAAAAAGTTTGCAACTTTTACGCGAATATTTTATAATTTTTAAATCAATTTATTTTACATTAGAGCATGTTGAATATGATGTTTATATTTTGTTTTTATTTCTTATCATGTAAAAATTAGATTAAATAGGTAAAGAACTAATCAAACTCTTGAAGTAAGTTGAAACATTTGTGCGCACGCGCATAAAAAACCTTTTAACTTTATATTATTTTAAATGTTTTACAGCGAAACTATATTTACATATAAAAGTTGTATTTTTGTAATTATACGATTAAAGGGATTTTTATGCGATTTAATAAATACAGCTTGAATATAAATTTATATTTACTCATTGCTATGATTATTTTTGTAATGGTTAACTAATTTTTGTTTTTAAACTGTTTTAGGGGGAATGTCTGGGTTGAATTACGTCCTTATAGTCTCTCTTGATGATGATCACGATGAATTTGTCAAAAAGCTTTTATTGAATCTTGAGGAAGATCAAACTTTAAAATCGTATAAACTGTCAGATATACAGCACGAGTATAGTGATTTGATAAAATATTCAGACAAGCTTGATAGAATGCTTCAGAATTTGAATCGCATGTTTCTTGTTAATTCCGATAACTTGCATCTATATATCGAGAATGGGACAACCGACAACAAGTTTTTAAAAATGCCTGGAGTAAAGGAAATCCTTGATCGTTTTATTCGATCAGAAGGTTGTCTTACTAAGGCAAAAAGCAAAATTGTATTATTGTCTCCTGTTCACTTAAATTCCCCTCCTGATTATTTAAAAGATCTCGAATATATAGATGAGATTTTTGATGAAGAACGAAATATTGTATCTAGTAAAATTCAGCTTATATTGACAAGGTGTCGCTTTTATCGTCAGCCGGAAGAGGTTGTTAACAACAAAACCAATAAGAAAAAGAAAGGTTGTCAACTTATGTAATGTTAAATATATGAAGTTGAACATTTTTATTATTTAAAAAGATCCTCCCATTTTACGGATCGTAAACAAAGAAAGACCATAAAAAGACACTGGGCGGAAAAGTGTTGACAGCAGACTTTTAATAATTTAAGTTATTATCATCGTTTGTAAATTATTTAGTCGCATATAATAAATATTTAGTCGCAATTTA